TCTGCTTGACCAACTATTCTTACTCTAACAAAATCTGACAATTCGAGAGAACCTTGAGTTCTAGGCATGTTGTAGCACAAGATAATTAGTTTGCGGACCAATTTCATTTATATAGTGCTCTATGAACACAAATTAGTTAGCATAAATCAGTTAAATGACGAAAAATTAGGTGTCTGTTTACTTGTGACTACTCAGTGTATATATTTAGAATTGGCCAACACCAAGTAACGTACATAAAGTAAGGGGATTTTTTGAACTATACTCTTACTATCGTCGTTTTCTAAAGCCATTTTTTGGCATAGCATTTCTTTTACGTAAATTACATGGAAAAAGAAATAAGTTTTTTGGATTGGTGATTATGAACAAGCATTAAATAAACTGAATAAAGAATTAATCACTATTCATGTATTAGTTTACCAAAATCTTAAAGATACACACATTTTAGATACAGCTGTTAGGGATGTTCCAGTAGGAGCAGTGTTATCACAAATACAACTTGGAAAAGAGCATACAATTGCCTGCTACAACAAAGCAATGAATACTTTAGAAAGGAGGTATTGCACAACTCGAAAAGAGCTATTAAGTGTTGTTCGACCCTAATTGATTTCTATTATTACCTATATGTACAAAAGTTTTCACTTTGGACAGATAATACAACATTGAAGTGGCTAGCAAATTTTCGCAATCCAGAAGCCCAGACAGCAGGTTGGTTCCAGAAACTTCAAGACTTAAACTTTAACATTGTGCATCGCTATGGACAAAACCATGGAAATGCTAATACATTGTCCCAAAGATCATATGTTAATGAAGAATGTAAATAGTACAAAAAATGAGGGAAACACAAGGTAATGAAGATGATCAACCTAAAACAGAATCTTATCTAAGATGTGACATCCATAAGTGATGTGAAGAACTAATGTAGTCCAACACATAACTGAAAGCTTCTCAGGCAAAAGATACAAATTTCAAATTAATTACTCAGTAAATGAAGAATAGTGTAGAAAAAGTTTCGTGCCAAACAGTCCATACAGTCAAATGAGTAAAGTAGAACAAACTGTCTTGTTGCTTGCGTGGGTATGCTCACTATACTTTCTATTATTTTTCGTTGGTAAGAGTGGTATGGTTTGTTATGTTTTGAATTTCGCGCAAAGCTATACGATGGCTATCTGCGCTAGACACCCCTAATTTAGCAGTGATAGACTAAAGGGAAAGAAGCTCGTCAAAACTACCCATCGCCAACTCTTGGACTACTATTTTACCATGGAGGAAAAGGCGAGCATGTGACGGGGATTCGAACCCGCGACCCTCAGATTCCAAGTCGAGCACCCTAGCCACCAGGCGACGCAAGGTCTAGTTCAAGTGTCTTTTATTCTTGTAAATTTTGTCCAGACTTTTTATTATTCACACGTAAAAGAAACTCAGTTTAAGTTATCAGCTACAAAACACTCCTCTTATTTCGTGTACGATCTGTTGTTCTTGCGGAACACAATTTATACTGGGTAAGGAAACCTGTTGCAACCCAAAATACCACACGAGTAAAAAAAACCTTCTATTGGGCAGGGTGCGGAATCTATGAAGAATTGATGTAAAACACGTGAACTATGCTGTGAACAAAAACATCCACGAAAGAAACATGGACAAATTAAGAGGAATGTGTAAAAGAAAAAGAGAAAAACAAAGTGCAGCTTGTTTTTATAGCAACTTTTAAGCCTATTGATTTTTCAATATTTCGCCGCCTGATGGCGCTTAAACCGTAACATTTACTGGTGATTTAGTACAAATTATGAAGAATTTCCAATTACATGTAAATTTCTTCTCACATATTAAGTATTCTAACTATCTCTATAATAACCAAATTTCTGTCTGTATGCCACTTTTCATATCTCCTGAACGGTTAATCATAGTATTGTTGCGTCAGCGAGGTCACGTGACTAGTATCACGCCACGTCCTTCTCTCGAACCTTCGTGAATTATCGGGAGACTACTAGATTGGGGGTAGTCTGGTATATATAAGATGGTCACAACGTGACGAAGTGAATGAGTAATTGAATGTACACGGACAAAATATTGTTGGCCACGTGAAACGGGAACTATAGTGATTATTATAGAGCGACTGTTGAAATTAAGTGTATCGTAAAGTTGTATTCGGAAAGAATAAACCAGTTTTATTAAAGAAAGGACTTGTGTCGCTAAAGTTTCGTCGGAACGAATTTACGGAAAATTAACTAACGAACAGAGACGTGACGGTATATATATATATAAATGCTTCATTTCAAGAGTACATTACAGGAAAATTATTCATTTTTGCAATTCCTATGATATCATATCCATATCAACATCGATACGTTAGTCTTTGCATGGGTTCAATGGTCAATGGGAAGAAAGACTTATTAAGAACACAAATGTTTCTTTATGAGAAGGAATATCATTAAGAAAATAAGAGTTTCTCTGTCGAGTGATTGAAAAAAATATTTTGAAGATAGGAGCATGCCATGAACGGAAATATCTCATAAAGAGAGGATCATGTTTGAGTATGTATTTGTTGTTGTTCGGTTTATATGTATTGTTACGTCTCCGTTTTTTAATTGATTTTCCGTAACTTCGTACCGACGAAACTTAAGCGACACAAGCCTTTACTTAACAAAACTGGTTTATTCTTTCCGAATATAACTTAACCGATACACTCAACAATCGCGCTAAACAAACGCTATAGCAACGAACGTCAATAATACTCCGACCGCAGATCAATTACTCACTATCTACACACACATTACATTACCTTTCTTCCCGCGTCACGTTTTCCCCTCTTATATATATACCAGCCTACCCTACTAGTAAATACTAGAGCATTCGCCAAAGTACATGATAATTCTAGAAACGTTGCGTCATAGTAGTCACGTGACTCGCTGACGCAACAATACGTTTCAGGGCGCTAAAGGAGCGCTCAATGGATTG